AAAACATATAAATAGAATAACACGAGTGTCCTTTTGATGTAACAACACTATGTCACGAGATTCGAACCTACAACGTGTTTGTTGTTAAACGCCGAACTCCAGCTGTATGACGGCGGCCTGTAAACAATCGTATTGGACCAAACAATCCAGTGATTGATATTACGAGAAACGATCCACGCCGTATGGAGTTGTCGCATAATCAACCAATCATCTCGTACAATAGGTTGCTATGGCACCAGTTCTTACCTGGTATCACCCTGGGGGGTCCACAAAGTGGCAACGTGGTGTTACCACTGCCCTCTCTAACACAGTTTAACAAATGACAAAATCCTCGACAGCTATAGCTACGATCACTTCGTGAAACGAGGCCAAATAAGCATCAGTCGTGGGTTTGAATCCTAGATTCGCCTATTAGGTTATGTTCTACGGTTTGACAAGACAGTATTTTCACCAGAGAAGTACTTGTCCGCATAGAAACACTTAAATGGCTTTAAAAAAAAATACTTTGTAAAGAAGCGTTATCTTTACACACCATCCAACTTCTGTTTTGTGTTTGCCTACACTGCCTCTACCCTGGGTCCGTTCTACACTACATATACAGCGCTGATTAACAAAGCGCCTTCCTGGCACGAACTCAAAATAGAAACAAGCTTTTTAAGGAGAATCCATGCAATATAATCAATCCAGTTACAGGTTGTTTTTAACAGATATTATCATGAGTGATTATAGCTCTAAAGATTATAAAAACGTTCAAGATAACTGCCGACATGTTATCTCGTGGGCGGTAACACTATACCGGACATTTGTGGAATTCGCCAAAATGGTCAACCTATACGACCTTCGTCACTTTTGAATTTCAATCAATGAGCACATTAATAATTTGACCGTTGTGAGGTGACCTCAAATCTCCCTATCACTTTTCAAATGCGAAGATCTAATGACGAAGAATTTGAACATGCAACTACAGGGCTGTCGAGAATACGACTTAATCAATAGCCCTTATAGTAAGCGTCGTGGAGCCCTACTCCATCATGAATTTCATCGTGGAGTAATTGATCCATGCAGCTTCAGATCCATCACATCTATAGACACGACAGATTGACTGGAGTCTCGTTCCTCGATATCCCCTTGGAGGGGGATTTGTATGGATCCGTGTTCGTGTATACTTCCGCGTCCGCCTCACTGCCGTGGTCATCGTCATTTCACTTGCCAGAACCTTCCGCCGTCGGAACTAGAGTCTGGATATATAGCATGGATTCTTCTCTTCATTGGCCCTTTGTAGTGATTTGGGGTGACAACAGACCCGGGGTAGACGGCTAATGTGAGGACCGGGTGGAAATAATAACTGACTGGTATCATTAACATCTAGCGTGCAGTAAATGGTTTGCCTCGTCGACTCGAATACTGTAGAGATCGCAGTGACATTGACAACGGCACGAACAATATTCACTCACTCATTCCTTTTTTACGTTTACTCAACTTAATATCAGCCATTTATTATAATCAATACCTAAAGCGAACGAAAATAGGACATGTTTGCCTGTATATGCAAGTGCCACTGGATTGATATACAAAATTGATATTCATACATACTACTTGAGATGAGGGTGGGCCGAGTTTGGGGTAGCATTAGGTGAGGTGAAGACGGAGTTGGGTTGCAACAGGTGCGCGTGGCTATTTAGGTGCACTACAACATAGCGATAACGATAATCATCGCCATATCTTACGGTCTACTGTGTTTCGATACGCGGGTCGTGGATTCGAATCCCAGGACTGCCCCCATGACCTTCCATGTTCTATCATCACCATAAATTTTACTGCCATGAAGCAATGCGTAACACGTCTATTAATTACATGCGTCCTATACAGTTGTGAAAAGCGGCGATAAACCCAACTCACTCACTCACGCTTGACTGTGGCTACAGATAATAGACCAGACAGGTTCGCCATGTTCCGCTTTGATATCATTATCAATTTCGCATTCCAATGGAGGGATAGTACTGCTTCTTAATCCCCAGCAGACTTCGGGTTTATTGTCTTCAACCATCAGTTTCTTTCTCCTCGAATCTGTTCCTAGAGAACTGACACCGGTGGAGGTCAATTACGACACGTGCGGCCTGTCGAGTAGGACATAAGCAGGGGCAGATGTGTGTGATGGTGCGGACTGCCAAGATGGAGAACACTTAACTGAATCTGTCTCTCATGCAGACGCTTTGTTTGTTTGTTGTTTCACGCAATATTCCAGCTTTATAACGATTGTCTTTAAATAATCCAGTCTGAACCAGACAATCCAGTGATCGACATCAAGAGCATCGACCTACCCATTTGGGATACAATGACATGCATCAACCAAGTCAGCGAGCCTGATCACCCGGTCCTGTTAGTCGCCTCTTACGGCATGGGTTGCATCTAACCCGGATGTTCACGAGGATCATACTGACTGAACAAACCATTAAGGTCCCGTTTGTCTCTGCAGCGAAGGTATTATATTTTACAACCGTATGCAGTAACTGTACCAGTACAGTACGTGTGTGTGTGTTCGTGTGTGTGTGCGTGTGTGTGTGCGTGTGCGGACTGATGCCGATTCATAGTGCTAGCTCACTGAGATACCATGCCGCAGTTTAATATGAATACCCCACTCGGGCAAAGTATACTGTCTCCGAGCCGACCAGTCCTTGTTTTAGCCCCTAATGCCGAACGCCAGACAGTGTAACAACAAGTACCATCCTTCAACGAACCCCGGACCTTCCGCTCTCCGGGCGGACGCTCTACCACAAGACCACGGAGGCGGTCTAATTCAGGAAATATGGTAGTCGGCTCTGAAGCATGGGGCATGGAGGACCTATTCGGCACAGCTTATATGGGATGAAATTATCTTTCTTTATTGCAGTACTGAAACACTCGCTGGCAATACCTTAAGTCTTCAGAATTGTATAAGCACATCTTACAACATGCATGCACAAACATGCTTCAAATCATACCTTGAAATCCAATATGATATTATACAAATAATGGATTATCACAGTAACATTACAACCATAGGTGTTGTGTCCACATGTTGACTCATATGATGTAACGTTATCCAATATATCCATGCGTGCTGATGCAAGTGTTATCTCGCGCCTCGGGGGAGGTACTGTGACGTAACGTGGTCTTCTAGTTATCACATATGTGATATAAACTATTCATTATCCATTCGACGGCAGCCTCGTGAGTGTATATTGCAGAGCCGCGGGAACCACTTCTCCTACACCTGATCGGATGCCAATAACTTCATTCCCTGTTGAATGAGGAAATAGACTTTTGACAAACAAGTGGTAAATGCATCGGGTTTTGGGTAATTCTATTACAGCAAGGTACCTCCTATAGCTTATCCTGCAGACACACTTCGCGTATGTACTTACCATGCATATATTCAGTTCAACCGAAAAGCCTTGACATTATGGGAGCTAAAATAAAATTGATACAAGGGTCGATAATCAAAACGTAGAGTAAATAACTTTCGTTTTGTTTGTTTGATGTTTAACGCCACACTCAGCAATATCCAAGCCATATGGCGGCGAAAAAACTAATGCAAAGATATGAACAATTTCGCGAAATTCATGCATATTCAGGGACCAAACACCCTTCGATGCGTGAAAAAAGCTTTCCCACAGAAGCATTCTCGCTGTTTGATTATGTAAGTTGTTAGTGGAATGTGTAACGGTTGTTAGCAACAAACACAAACATCGACGCAAAGAATCAATCGAAAGTGAATCTAAACCTCCATCAGAACTATCCAACTCTACTCCAGTCTGTCCTGAATGACTGATCAAGCGGAACAGGACGCGTTATAGTCTGCTGTGTAAAATGGCGTCGCCACAAGCCTTCCGACGCACGACTTCACCTCGAACACGCCGGCTTCCCGAGTATATAAGTATGGCGTGGTATGTGCAGAATGCACGTGGAACACCATCGCGAGCCGGCCGGTTGGTGTACCGAAGATTCCCGGATGTAAACGTCATCACACGTTGGTAAACTCAAGCAGACGACATCTAGACGGATGCGTAATGGAGCCTGATAGTGTGGCATTATTGGCAGGAATATGAAGACAAATTTGACCATACTGCCCTCGGTCATTTGCTTTGCAAATCATTAATGGGATTTACTTTTATGTGGTGAGGTGTTTTACCGATGGGAATAAAAACACTCAGCGTGGCTTTTCTGCCATCATTATGTCGGGGTCGACGCTTTTCTGTGCTATGCCCGGAGGTCAATACACAGAAATGAAACTTCTACAGTTGCTATTATAAACAGCTGGTCAGTGTGTTTACTGTCTGAATGTTTATTGAACGTGGTGGATGAATGGCCACTTTGGGATTTGAGTTAAACCGAATTAATTCATCAAAGAAGCATTGACGTCATATAGATCTCGCAATTTATTTCGGGGATTACATTTATTGAATCGCGTATCTTACAGTGATGTAGGTTTGTGTCATATCCTAATGATACCGGGGCGGTGGAGTAGCCTAGTGGTTCAATTGTTCACTCGTCACGCCTAAGGTTTGGTGTCCGGTGTCCCCCGTCGTGATGTTAATGGAATATTATTAAACACAGTATAAAAGCTGACTCACTCACTCACTCACTGGTATAATGGTATTGTAACATGTGACCTCACATACAGTTCTCCTTTACAGGGTACCAGGCCAGGCCAATTATCATTCAGTCTGGCACATTTGATGCAAGTATTTGCATTTTGTTAGTCTGCTATCTCAATCTTGAAGTAAAAGCAAACAAAACTGAAACAATTTCTCACATAACACTAATTTCAACGTCTTGACCGGAAATTGGGCCAAGACCCTGGAGCTAAATCTCTATTCAATTATTCAATTTCGTACTCTGCTACTACCTAGGTATAAGCAAAGCAAAAGCAAAAAGCAAAGCCATAATCTTTTATAGAGAGAAATCACAATGAGAGACAATATGTCTGTAACCCTTATTTATTAATAATCATTTCAAATCTTTCATTTCAAGAGGCCATACAATGCAAGTCACTGTGTTGTATCCTTGGACAAGGTTATTGACTCCGCTTGTCCCGCTGTGATATGACTGGTAACAGTTGTTGACTGTAACGTGAAATGATCATTAAGCATCACTTACCCTTACTTAGAAACAAAATACAGCATAAACATATATATAAATGAAAACAGTGTATTGCAATAACCTTAACTAACGAGCAAAAGAATCGTTACCAACCAACATTGTTTGTTCCTACAAACAGAGCAGGACCAATGTCAAGGACGATACTTGTATTGTGGACCAATGTCAAGGAAGATACTTGTATTGTGGACCAATGTCAAGGACGATACTTGTATTGACAAAAGACATGAAGTAACAACACCATCACAAGTTATGCCACGAGAATCAAGTTGGCCTGATATGAAACCTATTGCATCAGTTCAGAGGATGAAGGGTTTGTTTTGGTCGGGATGTGCAAGGATGGGGGCTGTTGTAAGGGCTTGCATTAGCTTTTTCACTGCATGTTGGCAATTGTTAGATCATTCGAAAGATGTGTCTTTTTCTGAAGGTTGTATGGAGGGGAGGTGATGCCAGAAAAGTTCACTTCACATTTGCGATAATATGAGGCCAAACTTAAGAAATGACGCCATTCAGAAGAACTGGGTTGAATGATATTTGCTTCAACATTTCTTGCACCTGTCTGAAACATACCTTCCTAATGGCTGTATTGTGCTTATAAAAAGGGATTCAATAGGGTCTCGCGACACCTGTTTCTATATTGTGATGAGTATGTTAGTGAGTATGTCCTAATCCTGACCAATCTGAGGCAAAAACTGATCTTTGTGATTGGAGAAATGCATTTTACTGTATACTTGTAATACTTTCAATATTGTCACTATATTCAAAACGCTTTTGAAGACACGACGACGTTCAGCGGTATTTTTAGTGCAAACCCCACTTCAATAGGTTTCTTTAAAACTTCATTTATCCAAAACCTAATTTTATCAATATGTTTCCAAAGTGCACAGAAATTGTATCTCCTTTTTCTGTTTAATGTTTACAACAAACACTCAGCGTATCCCCTCTAACCATAAGCCCCCTCCGGGCAGGACCCTTAATCCACAGGGCTGTCCATAAATGTCAATTAACACCTTCTTACGTCGCAGGATCTTACGTATGGTCTTTTATTCTATAAAAATGCTTTATTATACTGCTATTTTCATTGTTCTGTTTTAAAATCGCCTATATCTGTACAGTTATTACATTTTAGCGAACAAGGACAAAACAATTACATTCTTTCCATTGGTTGAATTTGAAATGTGCCATAGGAAAACCTCAGCTTTCTTTTAAGAAGAAAAACAATCTCAGCCCCTAACAATGAAGAAAGAAAATGCATGACTCTACTCCACCCATCCCACCCCACACCTATTAGTATAACGTCTTATACATACAGACCATTACGGAATACGTCTTGCTTTGCATACTTACTACATATTCATGCTAACTTTGTTAAGTTCCTTCATTTGTGCCAAAACAAGAAAAGTTGTATTCTGTTGAATTAACCGTTGCTCTCTTCTGTAAATCATTGTACTGCATTTGACCGCGTTGCAAAAAGGCATATATTACAAAAAAAATTAATTTTATAATAGTTTACCTAATTTCATAATCACAAAAAATCTCCAGAAACGTTGATATGACCCACTCGTGGTTCGTGTCAGGGTCATATTCGCTCCAATTATGATCGTTGCTCAGTCCACACCAAGGTCCTACCATGAGTCTCTTCCGATCTGTATGCAGTCTTTACGACCTACGTCAGATCGAGCTTTCCTTCCACATAAAGCTGTGACTCCCTGATATAATGAAATACTATTCAATACATTAAATACAAGCGACAAAACCAATTCCATATTCATGAGAAATATCTGCTAAATAAGACTCCACTGAACGAACCCGGCTATATCATAAGCATTGCGTATATGAGTCATTATCAAAACTTGCAATGTCGTGACACAACGTGTTTCCTTCAGTTTCTACCTCTGATTTAGAAATGGACCCAAAGAGTTCCAAGACAAACGGGTGGAATAGATCTTCAACAACCCATTCTTGCCGTAAAAGGCGACTATGCTTGTTGTAAAAGACGACTAATGGGATCGGGTGGTCAGGCTCGCTGACTTGGTTGAAGCATGTCATCGATCCTAATTGCGTGGATCGATGCTCGTGATATCAATCACTGGATTGCCTGGTCCAGAATCAATTATTTACAGACCGCCGTCATAGAGCTGGGTGCGGCGTAAAACAATAAACCAACAAAGTTGAACCAACCAACCAAGACACACACCATCATTAATGCACGTGATAAATATGGGCTATATCCTCAGTGATGATGATTATTCGCTATCGACCTCACGACAGTTCAGCCTTGCTACCATTTATCATAATGACAATGACATTTCACCGGGATCTGTGATAAATACCAATTATTAATGATTATTAATTGGGCCATTATTTCAAGTTAACTGTTATGTATTATACATGGTAAAACTTTGACGTCTCCAGAACGATGTGACATTTACAGGTTGTGAAAAGGGTAAAAATGGGGCATGCAAGCTGTGTATTAATTAATTATGAGCTGTCGAATTACTGTACAGGGTGTGGTCATTTTCTTACTGATGAACAGCATCAATGAGTTTTGAGAACGTGGTTACATTCCGACTGAGTCAGGTGACCATATTTAGGCTATATTTAGCAGCAGATAACCTGCGCGAACTGAACGAAATGCACGTGTAGATGTAGTATTTCGTGCTATTGACCATGGTCACTGCTAAATATAACCTGACTGTCGATTGTTACCCGGGTTTTGACCACGTGATCAAAACTCAATTATGATGTTTATCGTTAAGAAAATGGACATTGCTCTGAAAAGTGTTTTTGGTTTGTTTGTTGTTTAACGCGCACTCAGCAATATTCCAGCTATATGACGGCGGTCTGTAAATAATTGAGTCTGGGCCAGACAATCCAGTGATTTACATCATGAGCATCGATCCACACAATTTGGATGGATGACATGCATTAACCAAGTCATCAACCAAGTCTGACCACCCGATGCCGTTAGTCGCCTCTTACGACAAGCATAGGCGCGGCATGTTTTCACTTTATAGGTGAGGTGGTGAAGTGAAATTGGTCCAAGATTATTGCTTTTATATAGCGACGTGCATGCACGTGTGTGTGTCTGCTTGTACCAGTCCGAACTGATGCGGATTTATAGTGCTAGCCCACTGATATACCATGGCGCAGTTTAACATGAATACCCCACTCAGACACAGTATACTGACAGTCCTTTCCTTGTTTTAGCCCCTTAATGTCGAGCGCCAGGCAGGGTAACAAGAAGTACCATCTTTTAACGTATTTTGGTATGATGCGGCCGGGGATCGAACCCAGTACCTTTCGCTCTCCGGGCGGACGCTCTACACTAGACCACGTAGGCGGTCTTTTTCACTTTAGAAGAATAAGCACGCGTCTTTGTTTAGTAATTGTGGCGTTGTGTGAGTCTATTTCAATTGGTGAGGACTATAAGCAATTAGGACAACTAAAATTATTTTGTTCTTGTCCACAGAACAATTGAGCAGTCTCGGACTAGCGCTAATTTCGAAGGCTATTAGTTAACCAGTACTAATGACGTCTGTCATGCAGGACTAAAAGAGAGAAAATAAGGAAAATATTATCATAATACTGCATATATGTGTTTAGGGTGTTTGCATGACTTGTAAACATAGCTTGTCCGCTAACATCAGAATGTATTATGGTCCGACTTCGATGAGTGATGGTTATTTTCTGACTAAGTTAGAACAATGGCTGCACTGTTGACCGGGCTTGGCGTTGAGGCGGGGTCGCGGTTTAAACGTTATATAAACACCAGGCTGTCAGTCAGCAGAGATGCTGAATGTTGTAAGCCCATTAATTGATAGGAACTTCGAGGCGTGAGCTCATAGCGTAACATATGGGATAACAGTTTATATAGCATGTGTAAACACGTGCAAATAAACATAAATATGTCTCGTGGAGCAATACATTTTAAAGGAGATTTTATAAGTCTAGTGGAAAATGAAACATTATACCATTAACGAATATATTTTCAAAAACACAGTGCCTTGTTAATAATGAGAACTCCATGTCGTACATACGTTTGTTTTAGCGTATCCGTGAACTGATAATATTCGCATGACTCATGAGATGTACATAGTCTTGCTTGACTATGAGGATCTATACTAAAACATCGTTACTTCAGTATAATAAAGAAGTTGTTATCCATAAACAATGTCCATGTCTACTTTGTCATCAGTCAATTTCTTTCAAATGCCTGTCAAACAAAACATATCTTAATTTTAGCGAGGGCACGGGTGGCCCAGTCGTTAGAGGCGCCGCGATTCGCTCTGCAGATTTGCGTCCCTTGGACACGCCAGACACCTATGATTGTGGGTTCGAATCCCGGTTCGCCCCGATTATGTTTCTAGGTTTGTCAGCACCATCCCCGTGTTCGTGGGTTTCACCGAAGTGGTAAACGTCTAAGACCTGCATCACTTCGGGCTTTCCTCCCGCATTAAGCTGACACGCCGTGATATAACTGGAATAATGTTAAAAGCGGCGTTAAACACAACTCACTCACTCACTTAATGTTAGCCCCCGGGATGAAAGGTGTGTTCAAAGAAATCATTCTCTAACCTAACGGTTGTAGTTGTTTCAGGCTTGACGTGGTATTTATGATCAGAAATACAAAACATCAATACGCACAGTTCATTTGAGCAACAGGTCAGTGTTTGCAATAACGCGAGAATGTCCGTCTATTTATGAAATCTCGCGATATTTACGTTGCCAATTTGCTGAGATTTAAATGTCCGACCTTCTTTAGACCATCATTCACCTCGCTTATCCAGTTTCAGTAAGAGTTATCTCCCCTTCTTTTCTTTTCAATGAACAGCATCGTGATCGGTTTGTTGTTTTCACTGTTAAAGCATACATATGTGGTATCCGAGTGGTACAGACGTACATATACTACATGCCAACAACCCGGGTTCGATTCCCGATGCATGGTTAAAAGTGAGACGCCCAATTTCTTCTTGACATTGTTGCAAGCGGAGTTAAATCTTACTCACTCACTCACTCATTCTGTAGTTCCATCTAAACTTAAACTGATATTCTTTTCTGGGCCAGAATTCTAAAAAATGGATATATATACATTTGGTAGACATATATAGATAAACTGTCTGGCAAAAGAAACTAAACACCCATATTAATGGATAAAATTGAAACAAACAAGAAATGGTTATTGGATGGCGATGTATTTGATACGGGTATCATAGTTGTTGTTGTTGTTTTTAACTTATGTTTGAAGTGTTTCGGTGACTGTATTCAGCCCTAGTTACCTTTTGATAATTCTAGCATGTTTTTGGGTCCAGTCCAATGTTCAAGTGTATACTTTATTTTGCCCGGCATTTTAGTTAAAATTGGAATTTAGAAACAACGGACGTCTGGTTATACAGCACACCACGGTTATAACAAGCTCAAAGGTACTGCTAGTTATATTTCGTTATAACCGAAGTTCGTTTTAAGCATATATACAAGATATATACAACAAATGACCGGGACAAAAAAAAGTTCGTTATATCCGTCAGCTCATTGTAAGCGTGTTTGTTATAAACGTAGTTTACTTTGACTACCCATGTGGTACATAGTACTTTGGTGAATATAGTTATGACAACAAACCTTAAGAGACCATTGAAAAAGGTTTTAACAAAGAAATGAATTGATACATGAATCCTGATATATTTAACCGATCACACATTTCTCCAGAAAAAAAGAACGTGTTTCGGTGAGTGTGCCCGTGTGACGGGTGTTATTCAGGCTGCAGTCCGACTCTGATGGGCCGGGGAAATTGCGATGGCTATTTATTCTTAAGTTTGTTCCCGCAATCTCTAGGGCCCAACAACAAACAACTGCTATCTTCCGTCAAACACTCCAGGTAAACTTTGATAGTCGGCAGATAAATCGAAAATGTTCATTCCCGCGACAGCATTAGTAGCGTAAGAACAGCCAGGGGATTGTGGACAGCGCTAATTTTCAGAGCCAGGTGATAGTTAAATAATTATAGAGTAACGAGGGAGGGGGCTCAAGTTTAAGTAGTTAAAAAAATTTAATACGATGTTTATTTTTCAAATACAATATTTGACAAAGACAGCCATCTGCATATTTCTGATTGTGATTGTATGTTAATGTTTTCATCAATACTGATTATAGAATCACTATGACAGTCATATTCTTTTCAAGTGTGCGTTAGTGACAAACATCAAGTGTTATGCATTATCAAGTTCTATGCATCACTCAAGTCTTTATTAGGTTGCGAATGTTATATAATAGTAATATAAGTATTTCAAATTATGAAAACGTTCAAGTGGTGATAACTTTATTGGGTACTAGTATTCAGACACCACCACAGGTTTATCCTCTTTAAAGTAGTGCTAATGATGACGAAGCTTTCTGCCAGGAATGTTGTGTGTATTAGAGAATGTATCTTAAGTCTTAATAACGGTACGTTCTGAGATGTGGTAATCGCAGCTTGTATATGAAAAATGCCACAACTTATGATATAGTAACAATAATGTCCTCTAATAGAAACACATCAACATCGTGCACTATATACCTACTGGTATTCCACCAAAATGGCATGTAAACAATATGAACACTTATGGAATTAAATATGCAACTGCATACTCTGGTCCTGTTAGCATCATATATGCAATAAGGGTACAATGTGTGAAACACATTTCTGGTGTCCCCCGCCGTGATATTGCTGGAATATTGCTAAAAGCGGCATAAAAACCAAACTCACACACGCATATATGCAATAGACATAGATATTGGCGATGTTCTGCTTGGTGCATATGCATATGAAGTGTTCTTTTATATCGTAGTGTCTTTGTTATGAATAAAGTCAATGAATGAATGAATGAATGAATGAATGAATGAATGAATGAATGAACCTAGCTATACAGATTGTTGTGAATACTTATATAAGGATCCATTACTCTTACCAAATATCCAATATATATATATATATATATATATATATATATATATATATATATATATATATATATATATCTATCTATCTATCTATCTATCTATATATATATCTATCTATATATATATATAAGTAAAGAGAGAGAGAGAGGGAGAGAGAGAGAGAGAGAGAGAAAGAGAGAGTCTCTCTGATCATTGACTTGGAGACAGCCAAACAGCCAACGGAAGAAACAATAATGATTAAAGGTGAGTGAGTACGGTTTTACGCCGTTTTTAGCAATATTCCAGCAATATCACGGCGGGTGACACCAGAAATGGGCTTCACACATTGTACCCATGTCGGGAATCGAACCCGTAATGATTAAAGGAAGACGATATGCGACAATATCATGACTTACTATCCATTAACAACAAATGGATCCACAACCATCAAGAAATACATGGAAACGCTTCATTTTGGCTGAACATAGTTTTCACGTGGTGAAACTCACACATTATTTCATTTAAAATTAATATGAACACGAGGAGCGAAATTATGACAGCGTGAGCATTTACCCGGTATACCGTTCTCTCTACTCGTCTTGCACGAAGCACAAATTAGTGAGAGGATTGTGGTGACAAGACTCCGTCGTTACACGTACCTTCGACATTTCCTCCAGCAGAAGTAATACAATTGAGTGGAAAGGCATTCTGCTTCCTATCCCGCAATTCCTTATCAAATTCGCGGGTTTAGGTTGAGGACATTTCAAGAAATGTGTCTCGGGGTCGAAATCTCGCAATCTGTGAATCAAAATCCATGGATACATTGAAGCTGAATATCTCACTTGAAAATCAAATGGACAATTCCCTCTCCCTGCTCCAACATCCTTGATCGTCCTGGGCATATTTATGTTAACTCTTTGTTGTATGACGTCATTGGCACTCCGATTCCAAACCAAAGATGCACGTGTACGTTATAGAGTTAGTTAAGTGGACATTTGTATAACTGGGGATTTGTGGCAGTGTGTACAGACATTCGAACAACGCGTTTCTTTCCATTAATTCTAAACATGATAATTTAATAGCACTAAAATATAGTTTCTTGAAGTGACTTGTTTTAGAAAAAAATTCATGGATAACGGAAAACTTTAATTAACGTGCAGATAATTCAAGAGACACAGACTTCGTGGGAATAAGATATGCTTAAAATCTAAGTCGCTATAGCCATTATTGATAAAAGAAGACTAGAAAATTTAACGGTCGTAATACATTTTACCTGGCTGACAAATTTCACTGCGCTAGTTTCACGTTGCAAAATCATAAGTTTCAAAGCGATATTAAATCAGCGTTTGAATAAGAGTCTTCTTTGCCACAGTTTCTTTTGCGTAACCTTCAAACATGTCAAAAGAGCCGCGAAGCTACAATCCGTTTATTGTGTCACCTGTGCGATATAGCTCATTATTGTATGCGAGTTTGATGTCACCGCCTAGACAGTCCACTTCCGGTGGTTTTCCTCCCTCGGTAAGAAGAAGTCTTACTTGCTTTGTAACCTACCCAAGCCTGTGTTTTATCTTGGGGTCTCTTGAAAAGTTTATATACAGTGTTGGAGTATATGATATAGATGTGAAAAAGGCTTATTGGTCCAACAAATTCTTAACGTGAATCACACAAACTATACGAGGTACACGTTTTATTGATGGAACAGCCGCCGTGGTTATTTCTGTACGCTTTTCCCTGTGTATTTGCATATTAGGAAGCCTGGTTTGTGGATCTGGGTCATACGGCGGCGCTTTTACTGCCCAAGGATTTTCGTTGTTTGAATTACAGGTAAGAAATATATTGCTGATTAATATCTGTGCAGTTTTGATCGAAAAAGAGAGCCGGTAGATGCTTGAACACAGTGATCGCACAGTCTGCACTTCTATCGCGTGAAGCCAACGCATTTGCAAGTGTACCCAGGGCCGGTATTTCAGATCATTCCAAAGCAAATTGCAATAGCGTATTGGTTATGAAATGCAGAATGACTGGAGTATCAGCTAAGATTGAAAAAATGAAAACGTATCGTAACGATTGATTTGCAGGATTATGTACAGCTATGTGTAAAATGTTCTGATCATGAAGTAAGCCGCCATTTTGGATAGTGAAGCATATGAGTCGGCCATTGGCAGTAGCCTTCGTTCAGGTGTGTCGGGGTACAAAATATTCCTTCTCACTTGCGGAGAGAAACGCCTTGCATCTCCTCACTTAAGTTGTGAGTGCAAATGTGTAAATAATGTCTCAGCAAGTAATGTTGTTACAGTAAGGTACAGTAAGCTGATGGCGGACGCCGGCCTATCCATCCCCCGTTCACCTTGTAACTTTGCCTTGATTATTCACTGTTGCGCCTCTTCCCATTCGAACATGATGTTTGGATAGATCTAGTGTATTGTCTCTATTCTCACCAGACCACCATATTCGAATGTGTCAATATTAAAGTTTTAAAAGTCCATGGAAATGCGTTCCATTTTGTATTTTTACTAGAGTGAACATTGCTTATTCATTCATACGGATGAGTGACATTGTATGAATCATATCGTGATTCACGGTGATCATATCATTGTTTGATCGTTGATCATTACACATAGACTATGTGCACCGGTCAAATATACAGCAGGCGTCCTTTCAGAACAAAAAAACACCTATGATTGTTCCATTCATGATGTTGCTTACTGATGTTCACATCCAGTAACTATTTTGATATTTTTTTATGCTAAACGTGCATTTATATTATTTACTATTTTTTCTTGTCTGATCCAGCCTTAATGGATAGATAGACCTACTACTTCCAAAGTCCATGTACATCTATGAATCAGAATTTCAATCTAGTTCTATTTTGGCAAATGTGTCAGCCTATAATACTAGTAATAGTGTTTTGCTGGTTAATGTTTGTTTAGTCCTGATACTACTGCAGTAAATTTTTACATGGTTGAGGTCAACATGCAATATCTCCGACATATGCTTGGTCATGCCTGCTGGCCTCTGTGGATATCTGGTTCAAGCATGGCTTTACAGAAAACAAATCAATGAATGGGGACTATCTTGTCATGACCAATTGTGGGTGGGAGGTATTGTTGTCTGAGGTCAGCTGGGGTGAAGGAACAGCATGTTTTGTTGAACTGGTGTTTCAGGCACATTCCTGAATAGCCTGCAGCCAGTGAACAGGTTTAGGTTTTGAAGTGATGGAAATTTGATGAATTCAGTGATTTCAATTAAATGCTTCTGAAAGAGGACTTTTGATGTCATTTATGAAGAAAAAGCACTTTTCTTTTCATTTAGTTTTTCTTGTTCTTTTCTTGTTGACTTCTCACTTGGTATCAGCAATACTTACAAGAGATTAGTTAGATTATGAAAGTGACTTCAGACTATCACCCTACTGTTTTGGAAATATATCTGATAACAGACATAGGATAAAGAATGTCACATTTAAGATAATATGCTACTGAAGACAATGCTGTGAATCTCCTACTGCTTACAATGAAATTTAACTGCAGGTAATATATGTCACTATTAGCTATTGATATTGTACTATACAGTGTACTACATTAAAGGGTGTTTGGGATCCTTAAGTCAAACAAAACCCTAAATATTCAATTGTTAACATAAGGGTTATGACATTGATGAGGATCCTATGCATTTTGACTTCAATTTGCAATTTTGAATTCTGACAAGTCAGGCTTTTTGTTTTCAATCAGAAGTGAGATAACTAATCAAACAGTTTTCTGCCACTGTTTTCAATAATGTTAACCTTCATATGATTAGAAAACAACCTCCCCATATTTAAATCATGTGTGTCTTTGTAAAAATTGGATCAATGTATCCAGAAAATAAATGCCTAATATTTGGAACTGGACAGTGGTCATGTAACTACTAAGTGTAAGCACGGTGGTAGTTCTAAGGCTGCCTGAGCCTTACTTCTGAAGCATATCCTGCTGATCACATCCCACACCCTGTAATTAATTTCAGGATATGTGGTTATGGGTTGTGTTCAAGTGTGGTTGATCCATACAGGCAGTACGCAGTAATTACTAGCCACAGCACACACTATTGTACCATCAATACACTACACAAATGATATGCTTGGGTCGTTCAAGTCACTGCAGACAAACAGCAGCCAGACAGTGAAGAGGTTGGGCATTATTGCAAGATCAGCAATAAATGTTGGCTTCACTGTATTGATAATCAATAGTTAGGTTCCGTCGTGTCAAACTGAAATCCTGATTGAAAGAGCGTGTTGTGACTACATTTACCATCATGTGTGAGATCATCATGAATTGGTGAAGCCCAATCTTAACTTCATTAGAATTCACTAAGCAGGATGCTTAAACAAGAAGAAACGAATGTAGGTTTTGAAGCAGGATGTAACCAAAGTTAGTTGTTTTCAAGTACTATTCCTGTTATTTGTGAGACAGTTTGTCAATGTGCCTTACTTCAGCACATTCATTCTTAATGTGGGTCTAGTTTGCTTTCTTATTATGTGTAGACTTATTGTGGTGCTCTGTTTGAAACTAGTGACACTAGGCAACATGTTTTTGAAAATGTTTTTTTTTGGTTTGGTTTGTTGTTTTACACCGCACTCAGCAATATTCCAGCTATATGATAGCGGTCTGTAAATAATCAAGTCTGGACCAGACAATCCAGTGATCTACATCATGAACCATGACCATAATTATCTATGTCGATAAGTTGAAACCTTGTCAAATATTAGCATGATTAACATGATTAATGCTAGAAATGAAATGTATAGGACACTATGTTAAATGAGTACTTATTCCACAATTCTGAACTTAGAACACAAAATAATATTTTAAGCTATTTTAAGAAACATTTCACCATAAATGCAGCATTCCCGTTTACCGATAATTACCAGTTTGTTACCGGTAAAATTAGGCATGGACCGGTAATTCATGTGGCTGCCAGTCCCAATGGACCGGCAAATCAAGTACCTTATAAATCTTTGTTGTTGAACAAAACATCGGTGATATTCAAATAAGTACATTTTTCGAACAAAGTCAGCTTGTCTGTTACCATCAGGGTTTCCCCTTGTTTATTTCTAGGTTAAATGTCCATTTGTAGTGACTTCGTCTTGAAATATTTAAAAAGAAAAAGAGAAAATTGTGACTGAAGTGTGTGTGAATGACGTAAAGATCTGACTAAGTTGCTTCAGAGATGACATCTTTGCACAGAACATGATGTCGAAAGAATTAAAACCATATAATTTTCATACATTTTTATATTTGTTGAAAGTTGGGACTGGCTAAAATAAGGGGGGACTGGTAATTTTTAGAGTTGCCAGTCCACAAGGACTGGCAGTTTCAAAAGCCAGTAGGAACACTAAAATGTCTCTTCTTAGACATGTTTTGTATTGTTCATGTCTCAGACACCTAACTACAGTGATCCCTCCCTCCAATGCTGACTGAAGGATCCAAATAATTGAGTGTATAGACGATTCACAGTTTAACCGAGGTGGAGTTGAAGGGGGTAGATGACCAACACAACAGTACATGCTGTATGACAAGAATATGGTATTGATTTGTCCCTGGCTGATAATTTCTTTCACTTACAGTTACTCCCAATATGTGACAAAACACAATGAATGACAACACATTGTGATGGAACTTGTATTTATTGATTTCCTAGACAAGTAAATGTAATGTGTGACACTGCACAGCTGGTTGGGAAACATGGAAGGAGTGTGTGTCCAGAGAGTGTAAATGACAGTAACTATCTAGTCCTGTATTTCACATTGTATATCCTGTATCTATCTACAGTCAGTGTATATGGTCAGATATCACATGTGGCTAGGAAATCAGCCCCAGCAGCGCATTCTGTGGGATATCTTCTCAGTGGTGATATTGACTCCTCCATGTGGGATCATCTTTCGGTGGAGTTTTCTTCTTTCAGCTGCCAATGTAAACTGATCGGAACTGGCTGTCACTGATAATCTACACAGAATAGTTCTTAGGAAAGTAGTTTCTTGTTTGCTGTAGCTTCTCTCTGTAGGGTGTAGTCATTTATCTACATGACCTGACCTTGATAGTATTACAGATATGACAGCCCCAATTACAGGGTACAGGCTGGAGTTATTGAGTGAAACACAGATGTCACTGTTCTTATGCTCTGCTAAGGCGGATAGTGAATGTCCTGCCAGAATTCTGGGTTTTATTCCCCTCACGGTTCATTGGGTACAATACATTGTGTTATGGTATGCAGGGTTTGACATGAGCTAAATCCTGCTTGTCCACAATTAATTTAGGAATTGTTGTTTTTATAACATTACTACCTTTTTGAAAGTGTTTCTGATCCTTACAACTTTGGATTGGTCACGCCTAGTGAATGCGTCGAACCCTGGTATTCTTGCTATCCCATGTACATTACTTGGTTTTTATCGATAATTATAATAAATTGGAAACCATTCAAAAGTAAGAACGTTTCGTTCGACTAAGGTTACCTCTGACATGGTCAAGTTGCTTTGGTTATGTAGGGAAATGGGCCAGTGCCTCATATTCTGAGTCACTGGTTTGTATATCCTGGTGTGGATGGAAAATCTCTTATGGGACTTAAAATCCTATTCACTGATGATCTGCCTAGGTTGCCAAGGTTTTTATTCACAGTCGTGACGACCATGGCCAACTTCAGAAGGTGTGGGGTTGTGCGAGACCTGATTGCCTACTCTGACATTTCTCTCAATATCTTACATCCTGTTATCAGGCTTATTACAGCACATTATCTGCTATCATGGCACACAGCAATACTGTGGCCAGGTCCCATCAAACCTGGCTTTAGTGTGTCAAGTGGAGTGAGTTTATGGTGTCCTTAGACATGTATGTTCATGTACTATTAATATTATATCACAGCTTTTGAATTAAGGATTGGTGTGATTATGTTGGTAAGAGTATGTACATACAGTGAAGGGAGAACATGTTCGCCTTCCATTTGGAACATTTGGAGTAAACATGTTTATTGCATTGTTGACAGTAAAGATTTATGATAAACTTCAGGCCAGCTCTGAGTTTACCTGTTGTAAATTGTCACTGATATTTCGTAGGACTGCAATTTTACAAAGTTTAAGAGAACGACGACAGCTGTAAACAGTGCTGTATGCATCTATTGTTCACAGTCAGTGCCAAAATCATTTAAGTCTACTAACTAGAATTTGGTTTAAGTGTTAGTATATGGATTATTATTTGCTGCGCTTTCTAGACTGGACAGAATATTACTTGACTCATCCTTCAGACCAGAAGTGCCAGTTGCACACTGCTTCCATTAAGTAGTGCCTCCTATTAATAAAATACAGAATAGAAACTCCTATTAAAACATGTCCTTGCTTTTTAGAAGGATTGATCCTTTGGCTAGTATTCCAATAAGTGTCCCGTTGGCTTCTTGTTGTTTTTTCTGTGCACTATTGAATACAGTTATATGTTGAAGTGATAGTTTATGTTTTCAAAATATGGGTGACCCTTTGGTAGGCAGAATATCTCTTTCCATCAGTACAACTGAAAAAGGATAATTTATTTGGTAGGAAGTTCAATAAGAAGTTGAGCTCAGTCAGAGGTTGAACATGATTAACATCAAAGTATAGATTTATTGTTTCTTTTATTAATCCTGCCATTGTGAAGCATTTCAAACAATTCTCAATCAGCTCAGAAAGGTTGTTACCTGAATAAATAGAGGTTATATTTTTTTTTAAACATTACAAAGATAATGTATTATGTGTCATAAACTCAGCTGTTATACTTTGTGCATTGCAGCAAGCACACATAACAATCATATTGGTGATGTAGCCTTAAGCAATATCACACGATTAAGCAAGTGTTATCAAGATATTTCTCAATGTTACTCCATGGTATGCTTGTTATCAGCTCCAGGTATAATCTCTGCCCTAGGCTGTGGACATTACAGACTGGCCTGGCCGATCAGGTCAGCCAGACAGAAGGTTGTTGGGCTGCAGATGGCCAAGGGTAATGCTGTTATGTAATGGTATGTGGAAGTTAATGGCCCACATCCCTTGGTCCACCTTGGTTGAGGCCTGTCTGGTTTGTTACATTTGTGAGGGACAAAACAGAGGATTGGGTTTCACAAAATGCCCCAGCTGGTTCAAGGCTGAAAGCATTCCTGATTTTCACTAGATAAACCCCAAATCTGTGATGCTTCAAAGAATTGTTTCAAATTTACTGTCAGTTTGATTTGTGTAAATGTAAGAAATTACATTTGCAGGTTTGTTTAGTTGATAATAAGTACTTAAAAATGATTGAATAAGCATGATTTAAGGAAGTCCTTCATCACAATGTTTTCAGTTACTGTCAGTGTGTTATGTGTAAACGTGTGATATTAAATCTATATGATACCACTTCAAAAGCAATTGAATAAAGGAAGCAATATTTCTATAAGCATAATAACTTTATCTTTTTTAAAGTACCTTTGTTGAGAAAACTTTTGATCACAATATACAACGATATAAAGGTTGAACATGACTGGAAGTCATAAGTCAGCACAAGCCCTGTGCTGTAATCAGAAAGCTCGGGTCAGTTACCTTAGTCATCACTGTTGGGTTAATGCAAGATAAGCAGGTAAGTTGAAACTTGGTCCTAATGCTAAATGATTACCCTATGAACTATGTATTCACCCTTCGGCTAGTCAGGCGAGTTAATTGAATTTATTGGCCATGTTCATAGTATGTGAACTTTGGATAAGTGTAAAGTAAATTTATGCCTATCCACGGCAGATTACTCATGGATGTGTTGTTAGAGCTCCTTGTTGAATAAATGTATATAATATGTGAAAGAGTCAACTGTGTAAGGGTAGACACAAGTTGTGTTTGAAATTAATGGGGGAATGGAACTCCTATGGTTTATTTAAATCGAGGAATACCTCCAAACCTTAGTAATTGGGTTATGACAAGGGTTATGACTTTCATGCTTCATTTTTCATTAAGAAAAGTAATATCAAACTCAGTCTTGTGTCACGCAAACAAGCTTTCAAGCACTCTTTTGTCTACATCTATTTTCCTGTTTATCTTTGAACAACATAAATCATGTATATTGTAATCTAACAAGAAAGAAGATTGATTTTGTCTGCAGTTTTACATTTGAAGAAATGTTATTTGTCCAGTTCATAGCTATATTCATGGTATAGTTTGCAGAAAATTCATTTTGTGAAATAATCACTAGGTGACCTGAATACAAGCCTGGGGTGCTGCCACTTTGATAATCCTGTATTGCAGCTAAAAGTGACATTAAATCTTCCTCTCATGATTATGGACCATCCATGAAACGAGAACATCAGTTGTCTTGAGCAGTGTGTGAATTAGCAACTGTTTCTGGTCTGCCTATTTAGGTCAGTGTTGCACTCCATGGTTATATAGGCATTGATCTGAACTTGAATTGTCCACAACCTTGGTACATTACCATTATCCGAAAATAGTATGAACAGAAATAAATCAATACATGAAGCATAGACGTGGTAGCCATGTGACTCACACAGTACATGTGCAGGAATATGTCATGGGATTTCCATGCATAATGCTGTGTGCTGTCTGGTGATCTGTGATCCTGTGATCCATAATGCTGGTTTATTAGTATCATATATCTGTCTATTGAAGTTATTGGATGTAGGGTGAGATGACATAGTTCATTTTCAATTTGAATTTCTGTGAAAAATATTACATCACCCATTACATTTATCATAATAATTGAATAACCTTGTGTCAGATATATGCCAGGTGGTTGTAGCTACTTAAAACATGAAAGTCTGTGGGAAAAAGTAGTAAAATGTAGTTTTAAGGGCTTTTCTTTTCGTACTACCGTATATCGCTGTGTATAAGGCGAGTTTTTCGTACCTAAAATAAGGGGGCTAAGAAGGGGGGTCGTCTTATACACGGAGTCGAAGATCTAACATTTTTTTCCCACTGGCGATGTCAACCGGCGTCCGATAGCCAGCCCAGCATTTGACAATATAACTTCGCATTTCGTCCTCAATAACTGTTCCAATAACTATTTCCATACATAAACATGATTTGTATCTCTTTCCCTTGAATAAAGTTTAATAATTTCTGCAAATAAAGTTGAAATGACCCTCGCCTCGATGCAGATTGACACGGTAAAACAATCAACATCCGCGAGTAGAGAGCCGGAAGTACCGGTAAGCATTTGCATATTGCACATGTGACCTAACATGTGATAACCGGTGAAGCTGAAATCAATTCCCGCTGTTTTTACAGTTGTATTAACAAGTGTTGGAGACGGTGTGTACAAGTGATTGTGGAATAAACACGCTGAATGTGAAGCAAACATAAGTCTAGTTAGTTACAACATAGTTAATTGGCGATTAAATTACTCACCATTGTCTCTTATATGTTATTACTTCATAAATGAATTTTATTTTACGGGCCCCAATTTGGTGTCGTACCGTGTAAACACAAAATGGCGACGTGTGCTGGAGTTACACACGCGACCTATCGTTGTAGAAAAAAAAACAACGCAAGATAAACATATTTTTATTGCATATATAAGGTTTGTGTGCGCACTTGTAATGTGTGCGAAATACGCATCAGTCGGAAAGCGCACGTTAAATCTCCAAAGTAACTAACTAACTTCTGATGTCCGTGTGCGAAATACGCTACAGTCGGAAAGCGCACGTTAATCTTCTATATCAGTCAGACTTGTGATATGTTTCATTCCCGGTCGCCTTATACACGGAGTATAGGATTTTGGGTTGATTTTTAAGGCGTGTACAGGGGGGTCGTCTTATACGTGGGGTCGCCTTATACACAGCGATATACGGTATATTCGTTGCAGTTTCAATTAATATTGTGTGAAGACAACACTTATTATGTAATGCTCCATGAAACCGCAAGGGATGCAGCCTCTGACTGGTCCTGCCTCCTGGGGTGTAAGGGAGGCTGAGAGGGGAGGCTTGAGACATGGGGAGGCAAGGGAAGTGCATCTGTGCATATTGATTGGTGACCTGGGTTGTAATTGATTGTGCCGTGTTGGCTGGAATGTGTGTATTGTGCAGCGGTATCTGAGAGTTCAGCTATCTGTGGTGTGTGTTGGTGACTCACTCTCCGCTGTCCTCCGCCTTGTCATAGGTTCCACACCACTCTGTGCCTCTTACTCCAGTCTACACATGGATATGCTCTAATACCTCACCAAGCTACAGGACTATACCATAATACTGGACTTGAAACCACATGCACATTTTGGGATAAGACTGGTTTGTATTTATGTGTAATTTCAAAATCTAATATGATTCAACCCATTACTGTATTTATTTTCATTTCATTCCTGTTAAAGGGAGTGGTCAAGTTCTGTGAGGATTGTAATCACAGGCTGATTCTCCTGAGCATATGGGAGATCAGCTTTGGTTGGCATTCAGCACTTATATCAGAACCAAACACTCAAAGATAATTCCACCGTTCCTTGCTTTGCAGATATTTCCTTAAACTAGGATTGGTGTTGGTGCTAGATTGATTGTCTTTAATCCATGTTGTTATCAGTTCGGATATTGCTCTAGGATAACAAGATTGGGGCAATGTATTCAACATCTGGAGTTGAGCATAAGGGAATGGTGGCTATATTGTTGATGGAACAGGATACTGTTATGGAGGAAATGTGCACAGTGGTTTTATTAGGGAAACAATGGAGCTGTTATATGGAAGGAAATGTTCGTATTAGAGAATTGGCTAAACTTGTATTACGGATGTTTCATGGAATTTGATTTTAAAACTGGAAATACTTCTCGGACACATTGTGGAAATATCTCTCCCACATATTATCAATCTGTGAATGAGATTGTTTTGTCAGGTTGGGTGATAGTGTCTATCTAGGAGTGTAATGATTGCTGTGCTGCTGATGTACAGGAGATCTGTGTGTGGAGTTATTTCAGCTATGTAGTCTGAGGCTGATTATCCTATACCATTATCTCACATACATAATATCAGCTCTTATTCTACAAGGCAGTTTACTGTTTATTCACATCCAGTGAGTGAGTATTGCTTTGAGATACATCAGCAGTATTGCTATTCGCAGTAAGAAATGTGTATTTATATGTATATGTATAAATATATATTTATCATGTACATATATATACATATATGGAAAAAGAATCTTGTGATCTAGGTTTGTAATGGCCAGTGTCAGATGACATTCTTATGGGAATATAAAGTCTGTGGTTACCACTTAAAGACTACTTTATGCTCAGTAGGAAAGTAAGATGTTTGAGTAAGAATGTAAGTGATTGGAGTAAATTATTCGCACTTGTACAGACTTCAGTGCGGTGTGCACATAACATTCAGAGACTGTGCCTGGTAATGTATTGTAAATACAACTACCAGTATGCCTAGAACATCTAGCTAATTTAGTGAAAATTTGGTTTATCAGACAAAAAAAATGGAACATTAACCATGTCAACAGGACAAGTCATTTTGAAATGAAGGTATAATTAGCAGAAAGTGTTTGATATTACACTGTATAAGGGTCTGAAAACCTTTTTTGAATTGATGATTTGCAACATATTGCATATAAGTCAAACCTTGACACTAATAATGCACAAAAAGTAATCCTAATGAAATTCATCCAGTGGAGTGTTTTGAGCCACTACACTTTGTGAGCGTCTGTCGGCACCCCTCACACAGGTTAGACTGACCAAACCGCTGGTTGTGGGTTGGCTGGCAGTTAGTTTATCTCTATTCCAGTAAACATGGTAAAGGTGAATGGTTACCTCTGAAGGGTTTTGATGTTTATCTTGACACAGGAAAGCCATTATCAGTTGTTATAAGTAGATCCTGGACATTAATGGAGCACAGGGACATGATGTTGGTTGTACACTTGATATAACTCTGACTCACTGGGTGACAGACTCTGCGTGTCACTGAGGGCATGGGTGGCCCGGTGAACTAATGCTGCGATTCACTATGCAAAACATGTTCAACGTCTTTGACCTGCATCTCTTCCGATCTTGCTTGCACTAAAAGTTGACACACCTTGATAATGATAGGAAGGCAATACTGTTTAAAGTTGTGTAAACCCAGCACACTTGCTCTACCTGACTTGTGACACAATCTGGCTTTAAGAATTCTGGGGCAGAAGAGGTTGTCAGTATCCGGGTACAAATGCTGACTAAATGGGGTTGGGATGGTCAGAGGTTTGGTGAACTGAAGGAACACTGACCAGTCTTATTTTGTCATACCTTTGATGGCATGAAACCTTGTTACATGTTATCCTCCATAATCTGAAAATGAGGTAAGTGTATGTGGTATTTTGCTGACCAGGGTGTGAAACACAATTCACTCGGTCATCCAAATGCTGTTGAACACAGAAAATCTTATCATTAGCCCCAATTTGTGAATAGACTTACAATTATGGCAGACTGTTGAGTAAAAAGAAAATCTGGTTGTTTTTAAAATAATTCTTTGTACCTATGCTGCCACTACATTCGAGATGGAAGCTGATTAAACTCGATGATTCATAATTTCGGCCCTCGGAAACATTAGCATATTTTTCAAAGATTCAGGTTTGTGATTCTAAGTTTGATAGTAGCAGGTGTACTAGAATAGAACAATTCATGATGCATTTTTATCGGAGGTCACACTGTACAAGTCTTTATGAGAAGAATTTTCCCCTGATTACATCTTCTAATTAACATGTGTCATTGTACACTGTTTGAATGAAACTGAATTCAGAAGATGACAGGTAACTTGATTGACTTTAAATCAACACTGATAATATGATATGACCTCTCCAAATTTAGAAGAAGGTCGTCCATCACTGCTACCTTGTTGCTGGAGGTCACATGAGGAGGTTGGTGGAGCATGACCCATCTATTACAATAGCTGCAGCCCAGGGCATGGAGGCAGGTGTAACACAAGGAGTGACTGTGACTGTGGTGTAACTCCTGCTATGGTTGTCTTTGCTGATAAAGCATGCTCCCATAGATCAGGTTATATACTGCCTCAAGCAGGATAATACCTTAACGCCTATCCTTAATGTTAAGGCTTCACGTAGAGTTCTTGTATTATTTCTAAATGTCAAGGTGTTGCGAAAATATTAAGATTGATATCTAAATGTAACATACTCAATGGTGTATGGAAATTGAAAATAATGGGATTTTTTGTAAATCCACACGAGTTGGACATGAGAAATAATGAGTTTTCTAGAGTCCACACAGGATGGACATATCCATAGAGAATAAAGAGTATTATTGATTGTCCACACTAACTAGATGTAAGGAATAAAAGAATTGTTTGATTTCCACATGGACAGGAGATAATAGGGAAAAGTGAGTATTGTTAGTCCACTCAAATTTGACACAAGCAGGGCTTGATTAAAGGAACCTGATTTAACTTGCACACTGTGCATGTTGACATGAAAACATAGTTGCACCTAACAACCAGGTTGCATAAATTGCCATTAATGTAACAAAGTTTAAACATACATGCATAAACTAATCTAAATAAATACAATTTCTGATGATCTGTTCATTGCTTAACATAAATTGATGACGTCTTGCTGTAATTTCGAATAGCAACGTGTGCACATAAAACTACTCAGTTATGGCCTCAGGTGGCGCATGATCTATCTCGGCCATTTCTTGAATGCATTGCTCACTGACAGTGCAAATATATGTGTGTGAGCTTTCTATTTACAGGCTGCATGGGAAAGCTCCAATTAACAGTTTTCTGGGATAAGTTTATTTATCATTGACGGGCCATCCAAATGAAGAAAAAGGATGAACAAGGCTGTCTTAGGCTGCTGAAAGTAAAACTGGATCAAGGCCAACAATTGTTAGTACATGATAGAGCTAAACAACAATCTGTTCCTGTGACCTGCCACCTCATCAGAGAGGGATGTCCTGGAATGTACTGGTATCTGTTGCTATGGCATGTGTAGCCTATAGGACTGTGCCGCTACTAGTCAGCTGGTACCACCAAGTCAGCCAGTTAAATAGGCCTCTGGGTTTGATGTCAGTGGTTTGTCATCACCATGGGTTTACAGTTACCATATGATTTGTGTTATTGATGTCAGAATGGGAACTTGATCCATCAGTGTCTAGAAGTCGCAGTTTTGGAAAATACAGCATAACATTATTTTGATGAACAGTAATTCCAGCAGTAGAAACAGAATATTTTTGCTCTAGTAGACTTGGATAAATATCAGGGTAACTGGAAGGTGTGGACATAGGGTGTTAATGGTTTGTGTTCTAAAAGCTTTCATTATGACGTTTAGTATGTACTATGGTAACAGGAATGGACAACACAGGGGACTTCTTTTGATACGGTGGTTTGCTGCTACGTAATTTTGTATAGTGTTTGCATGCTTCGTTTGCCAGGATGTTCCAGATCTCCTAAAGAGTTGGCTCATCTCACCAAAGACCTATGTTCAATTCCCAACTTTGGTGCAAAGTTTGAAGCCCATTCTTGTGTCCTTGCATAAGGCTTGCATATCGCTAAAATCAGCTCCTCACTCACTCACTGGTATGATGCCACCCATCACTTCATGACAAAAGCAAACACAAGCACACACAATCTGCAAAACAGTTTGTCTTGAATTCTTTATTTAGAACAGACTATATCCTTCACCGGAACAGCAAGACAGTGCATTCTTCCCATTACCATCATTCCATTATCTGATAGCCTTACCCACAGGAGAGCTGGGACGACTGACTTCAGGCAGACTCAGGCAGGGGAGCAGGGTCAGGATGTAGTCTGTGGTGGGTGAGGAGGACTTCAGTCAGATCATTTTGTGCTGTTTCGAAGCTTTTTTCACTGGATTATTATGGAGCCTGAAGAGTTCCAGGTCAGCTCTTTCAGGTCACCAATTTCAATGAACGTTGCAATTTCTGTATCTCATTTCCTGCCAATTGACAGCATCCATCTTGTCAGTACCCTCGGTCCTCAGTTTTGTGTTTCAAGTTTAGTTATAAAGTGTAGATGAAAATGTCGTTACAAGAGAGATTATCTGTTTTGAGGTACATGTATCACATGTCCATCTGTTATTTTAGGTGAGAAGTGTGGGCAAATTTATGTGCCTTATCTTCAACATAACTGGCCTGCAACATGTTCTGGGTTTCCATTATATTCACACTACTGAGTATGTAGATTACCTGCAACTTGCTGAACATGCCAGAAGGTGGTTTGGTCCTTGAAAATGTTTACAGCAAATGCCTAATTATGAGGAAAACTTCATTGAGGGCCAAGAAAACCATTAATTAGCTTG